GTTATACTTGCTGGGAAAGTTTGCTTACTTTTATTCACCTACCTACTTGATTTCCACTTGATGTCCACACAGACTCGTGGGATTGTTAATGTTTAACATGAATCCTGAATTTATTAGTGTTTGCATCATTAATTACGTCATACGTTGATTCTTGTAAATGTGTAATGGATTTCCAGTGTGCATGTGGGCAGGAACAGGGTAAAGGTCTGGCTTTTAATAGATCATGAGTGAGACTATTGTATTGTTAAATGAGCCATGTAGTGCAAAGCTTCAGGGATGTTAATTAAATCTTATTGAATGGTTAACATACACTTTCTCATTCACTGTGTGTTTATACACCACTCTACATTTAATGATTCGTTATTACTATGATGAGCCTGGTTCTGGCTGAGGTTTCCTCATTTTAAAAGGGAGTTTTTCTTTCCCGCTGTCACCAAAGCTCTTCCTCACAGGGGGTCCTCTTGTTGTTGTGGTATCTCTGTATTATTGGAAGGTCTTTACCTTACAATATTAGGCACCTTGAAATGAATTTTGTCATGATTTGGCAGTATATACATAAAGGTGAATTCAATATCTGCCTCTTAACAGATTAAGCTAATAACAAGTACTCTGAACTCTCTACAACTTTCTGCTGATTTTTTTTTACTCACAAGACTCCAGTTACCTTTACTTCATATTTGTGAGGTATTGAGTTTGCAACATGTTTGTTAATTCAGGCAACTTAGAAAATTTTACAGTTCTGTAGGATTGTAATTGCACAAAACCCCAGGTATCAGCATGTGGCTGTTTTCTTGTCCCTTCTACTTCAAAGTGCTTATGATGAAGTGACATTAAATAACCCTGAAGTTAGTTTTGTTACACACACAAAGGGATACATTGTATGCTTGATTCATCTAGAATTTGCAGCTCTCTGAGAGTTTCTACCAGTGAATGACCGCATTCGTCCTCTGGAAGAATGCGGTCATTTGTATGCAGGCATACAAATGACATACATAAATATACAGCATGCAGGCCGGCTTTAGAATAAAATATGTAAATGAGCACAACAGAAAGTTCTTTTTACTGTAAGTGCCTGTGTGCGCGGAGCTTTGCTGCAAACAGAATCTTCTTTATGCACGGTAAATGTGAAGTGAAGTAAACTGAAACTTGGCACAACGCAGCTAAAAAAAAACTCTCACATGACTAACACAGTGGAGAGATCAGGAGCCTGAGTCAGAATAACACAGGTGAACACACAGGAAGTATGTAATCAGATATTAACAGTGTCTAGAATAGCAGTGAAGCTAATGTGTTCTCTTTTGTGCTTTGGAGTTGAGGGATTTTCAGATATCTTTTCTATTTTCTGTCTAGCTCCATTGATCTGGTGACTGCCTTTCATTTAATGAGGCGGATTTTCAAAGATGACAATTTAAATCATCACAATGATGATTCTGTAGCAATTACACAGCGCAACACTTGAGCAAGTTACTTTATTAAAATGCTGATCATTATTAAGAATAATACGCAGTCAGGCCATGATTAATCAAGTGCAGTTCCAATGGTTTGCCACAAGAGGGCACTGCTGATAAATGTAGAGGAATGGTTAACCAAGATATGGAACACACTGGTGTCCAAACTTTGGGATAAAAACTTAAGTATTAAAATATTTGCACGGCTTTACCAAAGGTGAAGCTTAAAGAAA